CCTAAGCATGGAACCTAATATGCAGGACAGGGGCCACAAAGCTGCAGCTTGGACGTCTCGCAAATTCGAGTGGTATGGTTGCTTTGTGATAGTTTATCCCCTTAACACTCAACACTAGTGTCCAGGGGCGGACTGACAACTCATGGGGCCCCCAGGCAATAGGGGATCATGGGGCCCCTGTGCCCTTGCCCAAACTCAAAAAAGCCTATGAAAAAGGTACCAGGGGCATCTCATGGGGCCCCCTACTGACCCCGGGCCCTCGGGCAGTGCCCGAGCTTCCTAATGGTCAGTCTGCCCCTGCTAGTGTCCCTTTAACTTGGCTATAATGCTGTCTGATCATGTGACTGCTGTGATTGGCTGTCACAAAGGTCACATGGTCAGGATCCAGTCTTGGTGCCCCCTGAACATTACTAGCGACTGGGAGCTGTCTTTGCCAGCAGCATACAGTGAGCGCATTCTCAGCACAGAAAACTCTGTTGCCCATGGGGGCATATGTGCGACTTGTGGGCATTAAAGCCCTCGTTGTTGCTGCATATAGGCATTGCATGGAGAGCAAGAGGTTAACTTTAAAGTTGAATTCTGAAGAAGAATAAAATAGTTCAATAATACAAGAAAGGTAATTCACTGAGAGCCCATAATACTGTTTGGTGAAAAGAAAAAGCTAATGGTCTTGGGGAAAAATGAGTTGCCAGCAGTGCTTCATTTTTTTTAATGAATTTTTATAATATTTTAAAATATAGACTTATAACCCCCCGGTCACATTGGGTGCGACTTGGCATACGATTTTCATGTCATGTGACTTGCAAATCGCATTCCAAGTCGCACCCTATTGTCTGCAATTGCAGCAGTCAAATCAGTGCAGTTCCAACTTGGTCGGAGTCGCACCGATTTCTACAGTAGTACATGCACTACTTTTCATGTGATTTGCATAGACATCTGTGTGAGAAGTCTTGCAAATCGCACCTGAAATTGGCATGTCCCCCGACTTTGAAATCGTGCGATTTCACTATAAGTCGCACGATTTCAAAGTCGGGTTTGATGTGACTGGGGTGTAAGTGCTTGCATTTTTTATCTAGTATTGAACAAAAAGTTATTACTTTTATTATTAGGATTGTATTGAGTACCTTAAACTAATATTAAAGGTTCCTTTTTGGATTTTTTTTGTACTAACATAACAAACATGTCATACTTAGTGTACCTGCTCTGTGCAATGGCTTAAATTAAAAAAAAACTTTTATATTTTGATCTGGCGCTCCTTCCATATGTACACGATCTTTCCAGTGCAAAAGTTTTTCACAAAGCTGCCCCGATCCTCCTCTTTTCAGGTCCCCCGCTGGGCTTCTGGCTCCTTCCCCCCTGCCGAGTGCTCCACATTAAGCTGTTTGCTATGGGGAACTCATGCATGCTTGCTCCCAAGCCGGTTCTATGGTTCTATGTGTCCATAAGACACACAAAGTGGGGCTCAGCCACGCCCCCATTCCCTCGTCACTGACTCTGATTGACACCAGCCAATGGCTCCTGCCGCTGTATCTGAGCCAGTGAGAAGAGAGAGAGCCTCGGCTCTCATGCACTTCGCTGGATCAAAATTGACTCAGGTATTTATTTAGGGTGGGCTGCAGGGGAAGCTGCTTGCGGTTTTTTTTTTTACCTTACTGCATAGAATGCAGTAAGGTAATAAAAAAACTCATGCTTTTACAACCACTTTAAAAGTCCATCTTTGGTTTTGTGTATCAAGGTAGTCTATATTGGGGATGTAGTGCCTTTACTGCACTACAGTAGCAGATAGATAGATAGATAGATAGATAGATAGATAGATAGATAGATAGATAGATAGATAGATAGATAGTGTTTTTCTTATAAAATTTTGCAAATAAATAATATTTCTTCATAAATCTTGGCCAAAATTTATTCAGTTATTTTTTTAGTGAAAAAAAAAATAACCCAAATTAGTTTATAACCAAAAATTATAATTTTGAAAAAAATGTTTTTACATTTTTATTTTATCTTTTTATATTATTAGTTATGTTTTTTTTAACATACTGTCACCCTAGCAGTGCAGTGTCACCATAGTGATGAAGATTTTTTTTACACTGATTGCTTTTACACCCATAAAGGCTGTAAAAGCAATCATTTCTCCTTCTTACTGTCTGCATTCTTGCAGCCATTGAGAAATACTATGTGAGCTGTGATTGGTCACAACTTGTCACATGGTACAAGGCTGTTGTGAATAGTCTTGTACCATGTGACCTCTGTGATCATTCACAGATTTCACACGTAGTAAGCAATGATGTCAGAAGTGACATCTTGCTTACTACTCTGCATGCGAGTGGCCAATCAGTGATCACATGAACGGGACCTCGCACAGAGGTGCACAGAGGTCCCGTCCGATGATCGGTGTTCCACTGTGTCCAGAGACGCAGCAGACGCCAGATTACAGGGCTGCGCGCTCCCAGGGGGTGTGCACAAGCAGGGGGCAGGAAGGCCACCCGCCCCTGCACTACCACCGTCCGGCCGTTTATATACATGGGCCGGACGGGAAGTGGTTAATAACATATAATTACAATATGACTTGAGTTGCAATGGTAAACCCTATATATATATATATATATATATATATATATATATATATATATATATACAGTATATATATATATATATATATATATATATATAAAAAAATTTATTTTTTTTTTTTTTCACTTTTTTTCCTGACGATAGCGGGGCTACCTTTAAACTTTAATAGTCTTGGGAAAAGCTGAACTAACAGAAAATTTCTAGTTTCTAGCAGCAACTGATTACTAACTATGCTTCATTTTAATTGCTTTGTATAATATTTTAAAAAATATATACTTTTTAGAACTTTTATTTTTTATCTTGTATTTAAAAAAAAAATTTATTTATTTTATTATCATGATTGTGTTGGGTACCTTATAAGTCCATTCTTGGTTTCTTGCGTAGAGCTAGTCTATAGTGGGGATGTAGTACGCAGGGGCGGACTGACCATTTGGAAACTCAGGCACTGCCCGAGGGCCTGGGGTCAGTAGTGGGCCCCATGAGATGCCCCTGGTACCATTTTCATAGGCTTTTTTGAGTTTGGGCAAGGACACAGGGGCCCATGATCCCCTATTGCCCGGGGGCCCCATGAATTGTCAGTCCGCTCCTGGTAGTACCTTTACTACACTACCAGGGGCGGACTGACCATTTGGAAACTTGGGCACTGCCTGAGGGCCCAGGGTCAATAGGGGGCCCCACGAGATGCCCCTGGTACCTTTTTCATAGGCTTTTTTGAGTTTGGGCAAGGACACAGGGGCCCCATGATCCCCTCTTGCCCGGGGGCCCCATGAGTTGTCAGTCCGCCCCTGTACACTATCTTACCTACAGTACCTAATAGATCTATCTATCTATCAATCCATCTATCTATCTATCGGCTGTATGTATATCAAGAAGGATGAAACACTTCAATAATACAAGAAAGATAATTCCCTGAGAACGCATAATACAGTTTGGAGAAAAGAAAACATATACAGTAATCTAATGGTCTTGGGGAAAGATGGCCTAACAGAACATTTCTAGTTACCAACAGTAACTAATTGGTAACTATGTTTCATTTTATTTATCTTAATAACACTTTAAAATATATACTTTTTAGAACTTTTATTTTTATCTTGTGTTAAAAAATTGATTTATTTTATTATCAAGATTGTTGGGTACCTTAAGGGTCCATCTATGGTTTCTTATGCTGAGGTAGTCTATATGGGGATGTAGTACCTCTAGTACACTATACATAGATAGTATGGGTTAGTTTACTAAAATTGGAGAGTTCAAAATCCGGTGCAGCTCTGCATAGAAACCAATCAGCTTCCAGATTTTATTGTCAAAATTTAACAAACCCACAACAGTAAAATCAGTCTGTATATGCAGTAAAGCATGCTTGTTATACTCACTGTGGAAGGGATTAATCCTCTGCATTGGGAAAAAACACTGTTTGATCCTGTCTTCTTGATTCCCCCCTTCTTCCAGTGCCCCCTCTTATCTCCTGGTAAGACATATCAAGTCACTCTGCACATGCTCAGTTTGATGTGTATTGCTGGAGAGGGGTTTTTTTTTCTTGGAAGGGGGCATGTAATCAGCACAGGGCCAATCAACACTGTCCAGACAGAGGATCAGAGGGCAGTCATAGGAGAATAAAAACTCCTCAGCCTCATAACATCAATTACACCAATATATGCAGGTCAGGGGTCATGCATCCTCCTAGGAGAGAAAGAAAACTCCTCCTACAAGCTTTAACCAGTGCTCTGCTGGACACTGATAGAAGACTTTATTGATGGAAGCAGTAAGGCTTTCTCTCCACTAAGATGATACCTTATTGGAAGCTTATCTTAACTTGTTATGGATAAGTAGGGTTGGCATATGTACAATCAGGTTGAACTTGTTTTTTTTTTTTTTTTTAATCTTTCTTTTTACATTTGCAAAAATAGATACACTCTTTTTGTGAAAGGTCTGGGGGATAAAACATATCAAGAGCGACTTCAGGAACTTAACATGTCCAGTCTGGAGGAAAGAAGGGAAATGGGAGACATGAAACCTTAAAACACATCAAGGGGGTGAATAAGGTTCAGGAGGGCGGTATTTTCAACACAAAACCAAAATCAACAACACGGGGACATGACATTAAACTAATTGGAGGAAAAGTTCAAAACTAATCTCAGAAAGTGCTATTTTACTGAAAAAGTAGTTGATGCTTGGAATAAACTTCCAGCAGAGGCAGTGAGCTACTCAATAAATAGTAAATAGTAAAAAGTAAAAAAAAATAAAAACCCCACCCAACCCCCACACCTCAAAAAAAAAAAAAAAACCCAAAACAAAACAAAAACAAAAAAACAACAAAACCACACGCACACATACAATAAAAAAAGGCCAGACTTGGTTCGGTGGAACACTCAGTCTTTTTCTGCTTTTCTATGTTTCTAAGTCACAAGACTACAGATGAGAAAAGGTATTTATCAGTTTATATCCACTAAAATAATTGCATTTCCATGTTCTGTGTACCGTGGGAGACCAGATATAGTGAATGCAGGGTCCGGGGAGAGCGGATATAATGAATGCAGAGTCCGGGCAGACCGGATATAGTGAATTCAGGGTCCAGGGAGACCAGATATAGTGAATACAGGGTCCGGGGAGACCAGATATAGTGAATGCAGGGTCCGGGGAGACCAGATATAGTGAATGCAGGGTCCGGGGAGACCAGATATAGTGAATGCAGGGTCCGGGAGACCGGATATAGTGAATTCAGAGTCTGGGGAGACCGGATATAGTGAATGCAGGGTCCAGGGAGACCAGATATAGTGAATGCAGGGTTTGGGGAGACCAGATATAGTGAATGCAGGGTCTGGGGAGACCGGATATAGTGAATGCAGGGTCCAGGGAGACCAGATATAGTGAATGCAGGGTCCATGGAGACCAGATATAGTGAATGCAGGGTCCGGGGAGACCAGATACAGTGAATGCAGGGTCCCAGGGGAGAGCGGATATAGTAAATTCAGAGTCCGGGGAGACCGGATATAGTGAATGCAGGGTCCAGGGAGACCAGATATAGTGAATGCAGGGTCTGGGGAGACCGGATATAGTGAATGCAGGGTCCAGGGAGACCAGATATAGTAAATGCAGGGTCCATGGAGACCAGATATAGTGAATGCAGGGTCCAGGGAGACCAGATATGGTGAATGCAGGGTCCAGGGAGACCAGATACAGTGAATGCAGGGTCCGGCGAGAGCGGATATAGTGAATGCAGGGCCCGGGTAGAGCGGATATAGTGAATGCAGGGCCCAGGTAGAGCGGATATAGTGAATGCAGGGCCTGGGGAGACCAGATATAGTGAATGCAGGGTCCGGGGAGAGCGGATATAGTGAATGCAGGGCCCGGGTAGAGCGGATATAGTGAATGCAGGGCCCGGGGAGACCAGATATAGTGAATGCAGGGTCCGGGTAGACCAGATATAGTAAATGCAGGGTCCGGGGAGACCAGATATAGTGAATGCAGGGTCCAGGGAGACCAGATATAGTAAATGCAGGGTCCGGGTAGACCAGATATAGTGAATGCAGGGTCCGGGGAGACCAGATATAGTGAATACAGGGTCCTTGGAGACCAGATATAGTGAATGCAGGGTCCGGGAGATCAGATATAGTGAATGCAGGGTCTGGGGAGACCAGATATAGTGAATGCAGGGTCCAGGTAGACCAGATATAGTGAATGCAGGGCCCGGGGAGACCAGATATAGTGAATACAGGGTCCTTGGAGACCAGATATAGTGAATGCAGGGTCTGGGAGATCAGATATAGTGAATGCAGGGTCTGGGGAGACCAGATATAGTGAATGCAGGGTCCGGGGAGACCAGATATAGTGAATGCAGGGTCCGGGGAGAGAGGATATAGTGAATTTAGGGTCCAGGGAGACCAGATATAGTGAATGCAGGGTCCGGGGAGAGCGGATATAGTGAATACAAGGTCCGGGGTTTGGTAACACTTTAATTGAACAAGCTGAAGTTAGAAGCTGATTGGCTACCATGCACAGCTACACCAGATTGTGCACTCCTCAGATTTAGCAAATGAACCCCTGTGTATATGTATATCAAGAGGAATACCATAGATCAATAATACAAGAACAATAATTCCCTGAAAACCCATAATAAAGTTTGGAGCAAAAAAACCCCAAAAACATAAAATATAATAGCCTTAGAGAAAGCTGAACTAACATAAAATTTCTAGTTGCCAGCAACGTCTAATTGGCAACTTTATTTAATTTTAAATTCACGTTTATAATATTTATAATTCTTTGTTTCATACAATAATTTTATGATATTTTAAATGATACACTTTTTAGTACTTTTATATTTATCATATGTTGAAAAAATGGATTTATTTTATTATCAAGATTGTGTTGAGTACCTTAAAAGTCCATTAGTTTTTTTTTTTTTGTCTCAAAATATTACTGGCAATTAGAAATTTTCCTGTTGGCTCAATTTATTCTCCATCCACCCCAAGACCTATAAATTTTACCTTTTTATTTTTTTCTCCAAAATTTATTATAGGTTCTTATTGAATGATCTTTCTTGTATTATTGAACTATCTTTCTTCTTCTTGATAGCCAGTTCCTAAGCACGGACCATTGTGCGCTAGCCTACATGTACACGACTCTGTTAATAAATAACCTCCAGGAATATTCCATAGATCTATCAATTCACATCTTACGGAAGCAGATGGCTGAGCATGAAATGACTGGAAAAAGATTGAGTAGGATCATTGTGCCTGTGTACACTAGGGTTTACCCGAAATAATGGCTTTATGTATGTCAATATGCACTCAATGTTTTCTGTATGTGGAACGTGAAATGTGTTTGAGTCTCCTGACAAAGCTGAGAAGCTCTCCTATCTAGATAAAGTCGGGAGAGCGGAGGGGATTACAGTGGAAGGCTGTGCTCCGAGGTTGCGTTGCTGTACACATTTGTGATGTCTATACATCTTTTGTCTCTGGTACTGACAGCTGACCTTTACACCGGTGAGAACCCACCGATGGACCGCAGAATTTCTGATTAATAACCATCCAAAGAAAAACAACTCAGACATGACTAGGCAAAGGTATAAAAAAAAAAAAAAGAAAAGAAAATGTAAAAGAAAAAAAAAAAAAAAATCTTCAAAACACTAAACTTTATGATCGGATCCCTTCATCTTTTTTCGCAGAGTACCAGTGTGGATAGTTACCATAGTAACACGGGGTTGACCTCTCACTAAGCTTGAAAAGGTAAAAAAAAAACAAAATTTGGATCCCTTTAATGTGGAGGGAATATCAGACGTTCGGTATCCAACCCCTTCAAGAAGGCAGACAAGGCCGGCAATGCCCTCTGACCTGTGCCGGGACTCTTCCTTTTCATTTGAGATGTCTGAATTCTTTTTAATCTATGTCCAGTTATGACTTGGCTGTTGTCAGCGGCAATCAAAGGGTTAAAGCAGTATAAAACCCCCCAAAAAACAGAAAAAAAAATATTACATTACAGCTTACCAGTTCTTAGTTGGGGTGGTTGCATTAGTCTTGATTTTTAAAGTGGTTGTACATGTTTTCATATATGCAGTGAAGTGACTGGCCTCAGGTGATACACAGAGATGAAACAAAGTCTCTTACATACGTTGTACCTTTTTTTCTGTAGCTGTCTTTGTCCTACAGCCATTCAAAGTGCAGGGTGCTGATGTTACATCAGCGAGGAGAGCTCTGAGAGCTGGAGGGAAGGGACACTCCCCTCTTCACACAGCTCACAAGAACAGAGATGAGGCTGTCAATCACAGGCTGTGCCCTCCCCATCACTATTTTTCTCTTTGTGTCAGAAGTGACTTACTCTGACGAATGAGGTAGCAGACGAAAATGACACCTAGTGCTCTGGAATGAGAAAAGTACACACTATAGATAGTATAGAGGGATATGCTTTGTTCATATTTTATGTCTGAGTTTTACAACCACTTTAAGGCTTCTTTTCCCCTTTTTTCCAACTTACTTTACCAGACCAAGCTATCCAGAGTGAGACACAACTCTGGATGAAGGAACACAGGAGGCCAGGGGCAGACTGACCATTTGGAAACTGGGGCACTGCCCGAGGGCCCGGGGTCAGTAGGGGGCCACATGAGATGCCCCTGGTACCTTTTTCATAGGCTTTTTTGAGTTTGGGCAAAGATACAGGGGCCCCATGATCCCCTATTGCCCGGGGGCCCCATGAGTTGTCAGTCCACCCCTGCAGGAGGCACAGCAGAAAGCAGTATTGTCAGTCTTGGATGTGGTTGGGGGGGGGACACTAATGCAGCCAACACATGTAAGAATTGGTAAGCTTCAATGGGGCAGCAGAGCGGCTAAATGGTTAACACTTCCGCCTGGCAGCACAAGGGTTGATGGCTCAAATCCCAACCACAGCACCACCTGCCTAGAGCTTGCATGCTCTCCCTGTGCCTGCGTGGGCTTTCTCCGGGTACTCCAGTTTCCTCCCACACTCCAAAGACATGCTGGTAGGTTAATTGGCTCCTGTCTAAATTGTCCCTAGTATGCGTATGTATGAATGTGAGTTAGGTACCTTATATTGTACACCCCTTGAGGGTTAGGGGCTGATGTGAATGTACCATATATATTATTATTAATATTATTATACAGGATTTATATAGCGCCAACAGTTTGCTCAGCGCTTTACAAAATAGCAGGAGACAATACAGCAACAATACAGTTCAATACAAGAGGGATAGGAGGGTCCTGCTCCTTGGAGCTTACAATCTAGAATATGTAAAGTGCTGTGTAAATTGACAGCGCTATATAAGCAGGGGTGTATTTACCACAAGGCAAACAAGGCATTTGCCTAGGGCGGCATTTTTCAGGAGGGCACAGTGTTTTTCAGGGGGGCAGCGCCGTCCCCCAAAATAAGTAATGGAAGAAGGGACACACGCAGCATGGGGACCAGATGGGAGCTGCAGGCTGCTTGATGGTGTATGCAGAGCCTGATTCTTGTTCCCGGGGATGTTCAGAGCTGTGAATGTGAGTGTCTTATCTCTTGTCGTGGGTAGGCAGCTGTGAATGTGAGTGTCTTATCTCTTGCCGTGGGTGGTGGTGGAGATTGCCAGTGTATGTGGGGGGCGGTGGTAGTGGAGGGCTCCCTCAGGTGGGGGTGGGGGCTGGGGTGTTGTTGGTCAATGTCAGGCTCTTTTTGTGGGGGAGCCAATTTTTGTATTGCCTAGGGCAGCATGAAACCTAAACACACCACTGTATATAAGTACCTGAAATAAATGTAATCATTGTTTAATTTTGGGTTTAATACCATTTTAGGGATTGCTAAACTGCAAAATATTTCACTTTTGTTTTCGGGTTTAATACCGCTTTAACATCATGGCTGCCATAGAGCCTGTTATAAGTTAGCTAATGCCTGGCCCTGACAAGGTTGGACGCCTTTTCACATATTGAGCGGTGGCCAACGTGTCTAAAGCACTTTAAACATTAATAATATACTATAGTCAGGAACCTAAACTCACATTGCTGCAATGCATAACTCAGGCCATCCACCAAATGTGGGATTGACAGGAAAACCCTATTACAGTTTTTCCCAGAACTCACAGTTTGCCTTATGTTCACTCCCTACAGCTTAGGCCATTGCACGAGGCGGCGGAATTTTTTTTTTTTTTTTTCATTTCAAAACCACGGGCAGGAAATCAAAATATTGATTGAGCTTAAACTTAAACCACATTACAATCCATTATTGGTTTCCCGGCCATATGTGCAACTGTAAAGGGTAAATTCATTTATATTCATTAATATGTTCAAGTCCCTGTCTCCAATAAACAGCTGTTTGCATTGCTGACAGAGGTAGACAGAGCAGCAAGCAATAATTATCTTGGCAATTAACCCACTCAGTGCCGCAGGAGCGTGCAGTCATTACATATGCTGGCAAGTCTACTGTGTCAATTTAGGACACCTGAAGGTGAGGAGAAAAATGGAAATTCTCCAAACTAAGGTCTTTTTTTTTTCTAATTCTAAATTTTTTTTTAAGTTATCATTTATACCGTATATATATATATGTACTTATATATTTATATAATTATCCTTTATATAATATATATATATATATATATATATATATATAATTTTTTTTTTTTTTTGGTAGATGTTCTGTTGTGCTGTACGGAATTTCATAAATTTTGGAGCTAGCTGGTTTAAGCTACGAGGTTAGACATTCGGAATTGATCACATAATAGGCTCAATTCACAAGGCTAAGGCACTCTAATTTCAGCCTTGTCACCATGACTGTAATTTTCACACTTCATTGGACCCAACTAAAAATAAGTGTCACTTATCCGTCACTTTTTAAAGAAACAAGGATACTAATCCTGGTATGCCTTGTGAATTTAGTCCATAGTGAGAAACAATATTACATGGTAATATTCTGTTATTTTTTATTATTGTTACTATTATTACAGGAATTTATTTAGCAAAAAATATTTTAGAGTTTGGATACCTTCAGTCCATTTCCACTTTATTATTATTATTATTATACAGTATTTATAAAGCGCCAATAGTTCACTCAGCGCTGTACATTACAAAGGGGGACAGAACATGGGACAGAACAATACCAATACAATGCAAAACATGAGGGGATTGAGGGCCCTGATCTTTCGAGCTTACAATCTAGGAGGGAGGGGATGGTGGCACAGGAGGAGATAGCTGTGGGGGATGGAGTGGTAGGAAGAGTGGAGGAGGCTTCCCTGAAGAGGTGGGTTTTCAGGGTGCGCCTAAAGGAGAGGAGAGTAGGTGATAATCTGATGGATTGGGGCAGGGAGTTCCAGAGGATGGGTGACACCCTGGACAAGTCCTGGAGGCGGGCATGGGAGGGGGAGACCAGG